CGCCATCAATTTATTCTAAAACAGCCACTAAGATAAATAAAAGCCATCTCCAAGTTATCATTACTCGAATGTCCACGTTAAAAATGGAGACACCTGGGCTTTCATTATCCATCTAAATCGAACATAGTTGGTTGCTTTGTAATCTTTAATTCAATTAAAGACACGAATTCATCAAATTGTATGTGAGAAATGAATCTTTTGTGATACCTTTACGTGTTGTGACAATATCTTGCTAATGACAATATTTGAATTTCAAAAACGGTGAATGCGGCATCTACTTTAGACTATAGAACAAGAATAGCATTGACTTGGTTGTCTTTTAAAAGCTGAGTCAAATATATCCACGGTTCGTCGCGTTGAACTGTAAACATAAAACCAGGAACGGCTTGGTCAGGCTTTCACCAACTCGACCGCTTCACCCTACGATCTGTTCCACTTCCAGTTTTGGTCTGGTGTGAACAAAAAAAATTGGGAGAGGTCCTGTGTATATTCACAAGGAAAAGCAAGTCGAAATGACGCCTTGGCGAGACAAAGAATACACAAATAGTGTTTCCAATATATTGGTTATATATTCATGCTTTCACCAGGTATGGTCTGGGAGATAGGTAAGTGGCACTTAGAACACCTTGCTATTGTCTTCTCTCCCGACAAACTAATAGACTAGATCTTCCTTTCGGCTAGCGAGAAATCAAACTGTTGATATACCACACCAAAACAAAATAAAAGATTACCCTAAAGCTTCAGAAAGAAATTCCTCTCACTATTAGAATGAGCGATAACAATGGCCTTGTGAAGCTTGTTTTCCTAAAGAATTGTTCTAGGAGAAAACTGACAGTAAATGAAGGCTGAATATTTCATTGATGTAAAACTGCAACTGTCTATATATCTAGACCGTGACTACCACTCTCCGATTATCTCCTCATCTTTCACCAACTGTTTTTAACCCACTAACAGTCACTTATTTTTTCCTTATACTAACAGTAAGTTTTCCTGTGTAAGCCCATGGACGGAATTCCGTAACATCCGATCAAGTGACAGTTGATTCCGTAAGTTTTAATTTATTCATTTCATTTTTCCCTTTTTGTGGACTTTACTGTTGATCAGAAAACAGCAGATGATTCGCTCTTAAATACAATAATTTACTGTCCACCTTTCTCTATGGATAACTTGATCATGAACGGGTCTTATTTTATAACAGAACAAATAAAGTGAGGGGAGGTAACTTTTTTTTCTAGCAGGTTAGTCTGGAAGCTATAGATTGTAGGTAACAGTAATAAAAGAATAGAATTTAGAGGATGATATGAAGTACTATTTGGGGCATATTTTTATGTTCCTATGCGGTTTCAAATTCTGGTTCACGTGTCCCGACTTTTAAACAAGGCGGTTACATTTTAGCATCTGCATAAAAATTGACTTCTTCTACACATATGTTGCAACTTGAGCTGTATCTGTTTTTCTGCCAAAATGGTATATTTTCGAACTGATTCAGTTTGTTTTGTTTTTTTCTTATCAAATCACGAAATGAAATTTGTCTTGAACAGCTACTCATCTAGATATTTTTCATTAATGGAGGTTTTGGCCTGGACTCCATCCTTGGATCTACGTTGTTCTTAATTTTCATCAACGAATCTTCTGGTGGCATCAGTTCTCAACACGGTAGAAATAATAACGAGAAAATACGAAGAGTTCGTCTCTAAAATCCTTAAATTCTAGAACCGTTGTGTGCAAACAATGGCCCGTTTGGTCTTCTTGAATGGTACGCTTAATTTCATTCGGAAAATAACGTTTTAAAAATGTTTATTTTGGTTTGTTCTGACTTGTTCACTCACACAGTCTCTCGTACATAAACAATTAATAAATGCATTGTTTCTTGAATTTTGTAAACTTTTGGTGAAAGCAACGTTTTCATAATTTTAAACCATTCGAGAAGAAATATCCTTTTTTTTAAATTTTCAAATGAATAAATTAGGAATAAATCGGGCGCAGTGATATGTGTTAGTCACACTGGCATCGGTGATAATATTAGACCAGGACTTCATTTTTTTTAACTATAAAAACAACTTTTCTGAAAAAATCTTGTCAATATTTCTAAAGTGTATGCTTATGCGTATAGTCTTCTGTAGTGAAAATAACTGAGGTACTATTTTCGAAAAATTATATTGAATATTTTTATAGTACAGTCTTCCTTGTGACGAGCCGTAGATTATGGAGCCAACTGCTCAAAAAGGGTTACCCATGCCTACTCTAGAACATGGAATAATGCTGTTTTTCTTGATTTCTGAAAAATGGAAACTATCCAAAGTGACTTTTAATCAAATTAAAATAAGTAGACATCGTCAGTCAAAATAACCTGTTGGTTGAACACAGTAAGTACGTAATGGACAGGTTGAGAAATTTGCAGTGATATGATGTCGATTCGTTTCAATTCTATTCTTAGTATTCCGAATGGAATTTAAAAAACAAATAATATAGTTAGAATTACTAATATGACATTATTAGACCAGCATTTCAATTATTTTAACTATAAAATTTCCCCCAAAAAAAAAAAAACAAACTTGTCAATATTTCTAAAGTGTATGCTTACGCATATGGTCTTCTGTGGTGAAAATAGCTGAGGTCAGTCAGTAAGTTATATTCTATGCGTGATACACGCTTAGGCGATCATGTATCTTTCGGTACATGACTGACGAGACAGATTTTTTCTCCACAGGAGGTTGCCATTACTTTCTGCAGTAGACCAGTTGCCATTACAGTATATAGGACCCGGTATGCCCTGCTATTTATCCATAGCTGGGGGGGGGAGATGGAAAGGATTCATACCTTCGCCAAGGATATTAGCACGTAAGGGAATATAATGGATCTGACTGGAATTCGAACTCGGCCCTCCGATTCCTCAATCCGAACATTACGCCACTGTGCCTCCCCGTGGGGTACCACTACGAAATATTACATTAAATATTTTTAATAATACGGTCCTCCTTGTGATGAGCCGTAGATTATGTGGCCAACTGCTTGAAAAGGGTTGTTCATGCCTACTACTAGAACATGGAGTTAATCCTGCAAAATGAGGAAATACTCAACTTCATTGTGAGGAGAACGTTTTTGTTTCAATTTGCAGATTAAAAATATTCAGAGATTATTTCTAAAATATATTGTTATAACACTTTATTAAATAAAATATGATATAACTCAGTTTTAAATAATCCATAAATAGCTTGTAGTAGTCACGATAACGATGTGCTTCACAAGTAATCTCTACAGCTATTGAACACGACAAACTTTACAGGAATTATCTACAATGACAGACGAGGTATAAAAATAATAGTTGCCAGGAGACAAATGCGGCCCACCCAAAACTGCAAAGCTATCATTTAATTTTCATAACAAATTAAAAAGAAATATATATGGCAAAATGATACAGTTAAATTTTTGATGGATTTTTTTTCTTATTAATTATATATTATTGGCAGTTAATAGCAAATGTAAATACAAAATGCTACAATTTAATTTTTATTCATTTATTTTAATTTCAGTTAATTGGTTGATATTTTTAAATAGTTTACTGTATAATTTACACATTAACAGATACTTTAAAAGCACAATAAAGCGTTGCATGCAGTCCACTATATTAAAAGCAATCGTTTGTGTTCATTAGATGATTGTGCAAATTTAGAAATAATTACTTCTGTTCCCTATTCGTATAACAATTCATTTTCAATGTATAGCAACAAAAATTTTCCTCAGACATTTAAATTTCTTAACCACATCTTTATAATCTTTAGCGTTTTCTCGAATTGAGCTTGAGTATCTGATCGTGTGCAGATGATTTTATAAAGGCCTTATTCCATTATGTTGCTAAAACAGTTGTCCGTATTTGTTTCTTTATTGTATTTTCATTTGATACAGGGGACCCAATCCAACTGGACCCCCCACTATTAGGGCCCCCGCTTACCATCGGGCAGACTGACACCCTGACCACTCCGCCACTGTTTATCTGTGACTTGAGTTCTTAGTTGATTTTTTTTTTTTGTAATTATCAAACAAATAAATAACCTATACTTCTGCATTATAACGTATAAAAGTAAAGAGGTTAACGAAAAGTCTAGATTAGATGAAGTGTCATATTACTCCTTGACAATCTGTAGAATGGCAAATGTGTTTATTGTTATTTCTAATAATATTAGTAAGATTAGAAGAACGATGGATTAATGGGTACCTGGGTGGATTGAGATATGGAGAGCAGAGTTCAACTTCCAGCCCAGTTCATTACATTCGTTTGAAAAAGGTATGAATTCATACCTTCTTTCCCCCATCTATGGGTAAATAGCAAGACAACCAGGATTCTTGGTTGGCAATTAGTCTAGAAGAAGGAAAACTCTGAACTCAAACCAGCCTGGGGCGGATTGGGTTCCACCAGGTTATCTTGCCCAGAAGACATCACTACTACTACGACTGCAGTACATGTGGCTGGTGCCCCTACGACCCCAACGAGTTACGGGACCCGTGATCGATTAGCAGTATAGAAGTGGCATTCACTTATTTTTCTGTGTCATTTCTATTATCAGTTACTTCTTGTTGTTAGTCGTATGATAACATATTATTTAGTTGCAGGAGGAAGAAAAGGAGGTGAAAATGTAGTCGACGAATTCTTATGAATGCGCCGAGTCTGCAACTGACTGTCCCGCACAGGGTGTATGCAAATGAACTACCGGTGCGTGTCTCCAAGTTAATTAACGCAGTGGAGCGAGAGTGTTCCTTAACGTCAATCTTTTCACTGTTTATTTTAATCGGAACTTTTTATGCATCGGACACCCACACACGCGTTGATATACAGATACATATGTACATAAAAACACGCTAAGTGTGCATATTTAGCTAGGATGAAGAAAAATAATTGAAAATATAAGACGTAAGCTTGTTGTAAGGAATGATGTACAATTATCTATTAACATTTATACATATACACACGCATACACATACAGACACTCACACTCACAAACGCATAGATAGATAGATAGATAGATAGATAGATAGATAGATAGATAGATATTAACAGACTGCGATAGATAGATAGATAGATAGATAGATAGATAGATAGATAGATATTAACAGACTGCGATAGATAGATAGATAGATAGATAGATAGATATGAACAGACTGCGATAGATAGATAGATAGATAGATATGAACAGACTGCGATAGATAGATAGATAGATAGATAGATAGATAGATAGATAGATAGATAGATAGATGTGAACAGACTGCGATAGATAGATAGATAGATATATAGATAGATAGACAGATATGAACAGACTGCGATAGATAGATAGATAGATAGATAGATAGATAGATAGATAGATAGATAGATAGATATGAACAGACTGCGATAGATAGATAGACAGATAGATAGATAGATAGATAGATAATATCTGGGCCACTTGTATTCGGGGAAACCCGGCTACGAGGGCGACGAGCAATCCCTATTGCAAACTATAGGCACGGAATTAGAACTTTGGATTTCTGACCATGATACCCAGGTGCGAATCTCACCATGGTGGATTTGTCAAGAATATGTTATCGATCTGGAGGGAGGAGGCGATTTCCTTTGGAAAGTGCTTGAAAACAGTATCACGTTTTGACCAACGCCATGTGAGTGAAATTGGATATACGGTACCCTTGGGAGCCTTCGATAGCTGTGCTAGCACGAAGTCACAAGTCATCGTGACCGAGGATTTAAGCGTGCTTGCCATGTTCAGATTCTTGATTGCGTTAAATAACACGCTCTCTCCAAGAAACTGTAACTAAGGTCAGCTCAGCGTAGGAGCAGTATAAACCAGAGGTGGGCCCTCTTGGTGTTGAAGAAGCACAAATATTCCTGAGCATATATACATATGCTGTGAACTATATTACGAAGACACTAATAATTTCACGGTTTAATGGTGAAAATCCATTTATTTTACACAAGTATTGGAGGTTCCATCATTCGATAATAGTCAACCTTTAGCACTGAGTGCTTGGTATGATCCTCACTGGGCGCTTCATACTTTTGGACGTGTGCCACATCGAAGCTATGATTGATAAATTCTTTTTGAGTACTTCGTCGTCGGGTTATGTTTATGTCTCCATAGATCATACTTTCGGCCTTGTGTCGCACGTAATCCACGCTTACGAAATCGCTATCCTCACTGTGTGCCTCATACAAAATTTCGACTCTAAATAACCCAACAAGCGATGACATCGCTTAATCATCACACCAAAATTTCCATCTTGGCCAATGCACTTAATTCAGTGGGAAATGCAGATCATACATTATATAAGGAGAATTTGGGCACCTCGACGTGGTGTAATGGTTAGCAAGCTTGTCTCGCTAAAACAGTTACGACTGAATAGTGAATTCGATCCTTACTGGGTACTCCGCATTCTCGGCCGTGTACCACACCTAAGCTACGCTTAGAAAAATCGGCACCTCGAGACGGTGTAATGGTTAGCAAGATTGTTTAGCTAGAACAATTACGACTGAGTTGTGAGTTCGATCCTCACTGGGTGCTCCATACTTAGCTAGCTTAGAAAATCATTTCGGGCACATCAAGGTGGTGCTTAGGAAGCTTGCGAAACAATTTATGCCCTTAATTGTGTATATATATATATATATATACGGGGAGGGGAATAAATATTTGTACACTTGAAAAATTGTATTTTTATAAATGTAAAAGCCTTAAATAAAACAAATCTCGGCACATTTTATGTATAAAGACACATACTATTAAAAAATAATAATGAACTTAATTCTTATTCTAACAGAAATTAATACATTTTTTTATTCTAACTGGTGAAAAAAGTATTCGTACAAATCAATTATTAGAATAAAATAATCAATTAATTATGAAAAACGTATATTCTAGAATGTTCCAGTAATGTTATCAGTAATTATAGTTAATGCTATTAGCCATTATCAGAGCATTCTGCAATTTACGAGAAGGTTCTAATAATGCTTGACTATTTCACAAAAACAAGACATTTTGTCACTTTGGAAAGATGGGAACAGTTACAGAACGATTTCTAACAAACTGAATATTCCTTTTACTGCAATTGCTTCGTTCATTGCAAGGTTTAAAACTCGTAACAGCGTCGAAAACCAAAGACGAACAGGTGCTCCGAGAAAGATTTCTCTATGATCAGCAAGGATATTAGGACGCCAGATCCAACAAATTCCACAGGTTACTCGAGATAAGCTGCAGGAACATCTGCGTGCATTAGGGATTAAAGTAACCAAGTGTACAATAAGTAATGAACTACACAAAAACAGTGTGAAATCACGCATCCCAAGGAAGACTCCACTCCTCTTGAAACGACACAGAGATGATCGGCTAAAATTCATTGTAGAGCATAAGGATAAAGAATATTCGTTTTGGGAAAAAGTACTATGGACAGATGAAACTAAAATTTGTTGTTTGGTCATAATTATCGAAATCATGTGTAGAGGAAGGACGGTGAAGCCTACTTACCACAGAACACGTTGCCAACTGTAAAGTTTGGTGCTGGCAGTATTATGATCTGGGGCTGTTTTTCTGCAAAAAGTGTTGGCAGAATAGCAATAATAGATGGCAAGATGAATGCCGAAAGCTACCAGAAAATCCTGCAAGACAATTTAATGCGTTCTGTTGAGAGACTTCGGCTACCTCCTGATTGGGTTTTCCAACTGGATAATGATCCTAAGCATACCGCTAGATCTACAAGGAAATGGTTAGATGAAAGTAACGTTGATACCTTGCAATGGCCAAGTCAGTTCCCAGATTTGAACCCAATCGAGAATTTATGGCGATATTTGAAAATTCAAATTGCTAAAAGAGCACCAACAAATATCAAGAATTTGAAGAGAATATGCCAAGAAGAATGGGGCAAAATACCACTCAATGTGTGCAAATCATTAGTTGAGACATACAGGAATAGACTGGTAGCTGTGGAACTAAATAAAGGACATTCTACAAAGTATTAAATTAAGTTAATATGCTTTTTTTGTTTAGTACGAATACTTTTTTCATCAGTTAAAATGAAAAAAATGCATTAATTTCTGTTAGAATAAGAATTAAGTTTATTACTATTGTTTAATAAAATGTATGTTTACGCATAAAATGTATTAAAATTTGTTTTAGTTAAGGCTTTTACATTCATAAAAATACAATTTTTCATGTGTACGAATATTTATTTCCCCCCACTGTATATATTGATGAACAATCAAAAAATAATGTTTACCTAATGTGTGAAATAGACTATTTCGTACAAATAAAATATATGATCCTTATATTGCTTCGTAGAAACAAAATACATCTAGCTCATTTTTTGTGGACCAATTATTTTTTATGTATTACTAGAACCACGGAATTTTTTTAACCATCTCTCTCTCTCTATATATATATATAAGAGTGGCTGGTCTAGGTCATCAATTTTTGTCGAAGCTATTATAATCTTTACCAAAATATACTATTGGTATATCTTAGATTGTAAAATATTTTTTTACTCTAACATATAAAATTTTAAAAAATCTCTGTGTTTGAAATTAATAGTATTACTCATTGACTGCTGAGGGCAAAAAACAATGTTCGATGGATAATGAATATCTATTTTTTTTATATATATATATATATATATATATATATATATATATAGTTGGATTGATGTGAGATTGTGACCCTGGGTTTCTCGCTATTTGCGATCGTCAGACAAACTCTAAAAAATATTTATATTAAAAAATATTAAAATATTTTATCTTAAAATATTAATATTAAAAAATATTTTTTTTAAAAATTCGATATAGATAGTGTAAACAAAAAATCGTATATATATATATATATTTATATACATACACATTTTACACACACACACATATATATATATATATATATATATATATATATATATATATATATATGCATGTATGTAAGTGTCTCTGTCAGTGCCTATCTGTGGTGTGCGTGCCTATGTTTGTTTGTACAAAGAAGTACAATTATGTGCGGATTTGTGTTCATATATATATATATATATATATATGTGTGTGTGTATAATTTATATTTTCGTTTGTGTGTTTTTTTTTACAGAGAAATGTAATTATGTGCATATTCATATATATATGTGTTTGTACGGAAAATACAGTTGTGTGCATATGCGTATTCATATATGTGGGTGTTTGTTCGTGCTTGTCTGCAAGAGCTCGCATATGTGCTTGTTGTATTTGTGTAATAAGCACTGCTATGAGCAATGTGTCTCCACCTGTTTGCTTCCATTATAGTGGATTGATAACAGCGTCTTCAGTTCTTTTCTTTCATCACTTCATTCACAATTCTCGTGTCATAACTGCCCGCTCAGGATCGGGACACCGACCGGGACGAAGAAAAGAGAAGAAATTGAACAGATTTCTTTGTTAACGGTTTCCAAACAATGTCCTCCGTCATTTGCACAAAAGCAGAGGTTTCCGGGTTCGGTTTCACGAAATCAGCCGTAATCGACACGGAGATTACCGACGCCTGTAGCTGTCAGTGCGACGGTAGCGAAAACAACCACATCGCTGGCGGTAAAACTGGTGCTTTTTCATCATTTTCACTTACTTGATACTTCCAGTGTTCTTTAGATAATCATAACGAGGAAAAAGTCAGCAATTCTAAGAGAGGATGTTGTATTTCTCTTACGCTTATTCAATATAACCCTAACCGCTTCTTATATAATTTGTTATACACTGAGTTGGATGTAAAACTTATACCAAACCAAGTGATTGCGACAAATACTAATCTATCTATACATATATAAAGGGCAGTTGTCTGTATATTTATGTGTGTATATGTTCGGATAAAACTAAAAAATAACAATAGTTCATGACAAATAAATATGTATACAGACTTATTATTACCCAAGCCAGCTTTTTATAAGAAAAATTATCATCGTATGTTTTCTATTTACGAAGATATCTAAAAATTAAAATGCATTAGAATGCATTCGAAATAATTAGAATTAAAAAGTAAAAAGGAACGGAAAGAATTCTTATTCTCGAATTGGATTTATCGTCCATTTTTACTTTTTTTTTTATTCTACAAAACGCTATCCATGTATGTATTTTAAAAAAATTCTGTTCTTTTGAATTTATTTTCACATCTATAATAAATAAAACCGTAACGTTAAAAAATGAATATGAAAACAACAATGTAAATTTAAAGAAGAATATTAAATAGAATTATTTGACAAAAAGTTTAATTTTATTTATTCAAATATTCGTGTGTGTGTGTGTGTGTGTGTGTGTGACAAAAAACAAAAAAAAACTTCTAAATTGTCAACGATATGTTTAAAAAATTGCGAGTTGTATTAGTTCTCAAAGTGACCGCTTGGTGGCAGTGGTGGATCTTTCAATTGTAAGCAAAAATGGAAATTACGATACATTAGCGCGTGCGTGAGAAAGTAATGTGTGAAATCTATTATTTTTGTTATTTTGCTCAATATATCTGTAATGGCCTTGTTAGGGCCAGAAATACAGATACAAGAGAGAAATTGAGTTAAACAAATATATTAATAGAAACAGTACTACAAACATATACAAACGAGAGATTTACAGCAAGAATGTTCGGTCCGACTGTCAGAGCTGACTGCTGGAAACGTCCCTCTCCAAAAGGAGTCCATGCGTGAGTGGGTAAATTACTATAACAATATCTATATCAATCATATATTTATTTATACCATATATACATGTTCATAGTATTTACATTATGACTATGGTAGTTACTATTGTGGTTTTATAACTCAAAAATAATCCCTTCCCATTTACGGACGATCGACTTTAACAGAGTCTATTAGTCCTTTGATGAGATGTTTGTATATACAGTCTCAGAATCACCCTAAAGGTTAGTTGTTTGTTCTCTCTCTCTCTGTGTGTGTGTGTGTGTGTGTGTGTGTGTGTGTGTGTGTGTGTGTGTGTGTGTGTTATTGATTTATTAATATTTTCGGCCATCTTATGGGAAATAATTATTTATTCAATTTTTAAAAAATAAAGTTCATTGATTTTTGGTTTGTAACTAACATAAAAAAGGAAATAAATTTCAATTAATTTTTTTTTAAAACAAAAAAACTGTAGCGAGCCTTATTTTTTTCTAAAATTAATTTAAATAAAATCAAATTCGTAAAAAAAACATTCAGCACGACTAATGTTGGCCGTTAGTCATGTCTGTCTCTCCTAATTTAAAGTTCTTTTTCTTTTCAAATACAAATATAACTTGAAATTTAAACAATAGGTTTTCAAAAATAAATTCCTAATGTATCTTGCTTGCTTCTACTCTTTCAAAATAGTTAGTAATTAAATTAATTTACAGAGAAATGTTTGCTAATGTAATGTTTAAAAGTAAAACTTTATTTACTTAAAAATATCTAAATTCCCCTCCAAAATAAATGGTAGATAATTATTTTTCGAAGACGTAAGTCTCGCCATAGTTTTTGTCTGAAAAAAAAATGATTAACTTAAATGTTTAAATTTATATTAATTTAAGTTTATTTACTTTTTTATAACAAATAATTTGAAAAAAAAAGTTAATGAACTGTTATCTAGGTTTGAACTGTTTGAAAACAACATTAACAGAGTATTTATGTTAGTATTTAAATCGAAAAATAAAGTGTATTTTTCATAAAATGGCTGAAAAATATCAATAGATTTTCAATAATAAACTATTATTCATAGATCTTCCGAGTAACACCGGGTATCCCTGCTAGTGGCGCATAAAGAAAGTAATTATTGAGCCGGAACAAAAGTGCGTAGCGTTTTTGAAGTGAATTTCAAAGATAATATTTGCATATTTACATATAGATTTACATATTTACACATAGATTTTTACCTCAGATATACCTTTTTCTTCCATTAGGAAGAAGCAGTTGAAATTTCAGGAGCACGTTGTAAGGAAGAAGGACTTAGAAAATCTGATACTCTCGAGGCAGATTGAGGGCAACAGGAACAGTGGAAAACAGCACATGACATATCATTGATTAGCTTGAGTACATGTAAGGTAGAACAGTGTTTGGGAGAAATAAGAAAAAGGCAAAACTTATTAAAATCTAAAAGAGACAGAAAGATGAAGCGATATGGCATAAAAAAGAAGATCTTTCACCACCATTCAGGCAGCTTCATGTTTCCAATTTCGATAAGATAGCCTTGTGATAACCTTCTCTAAACAGTTTGTACATGCGCCAGAGGATTAGTGGTATTGTGTAGGGATCGAAATAACTGATATTTCGAGGTTAGGTGTGTATGTCAGGTGTAGTAGAACATCCCAGCCAAACTGTGCCAATTCCTGGTGTTTGTGCTGATGGAAGACGATGTCTTTCTAATTGGCTAATTCCGGGTATTTCACGTCGATTGTTACCTTTAATTGGTCATTTGGGTGCAGTATTTTTTCGGAATTTAACGTCTGACTTAGCAAAGTTTAGGAGAGATAACAAAAAGGCAAAATTTATTAAGAAGAACAAAGGAAAGAAATTTGTAGAGAAAACCGATATTAATTCTTCATCTACAAAAATGGTATATGGCACCAAGCTTAGACGACCGGGCCATTTCTTTGCGGAACTGTCACAAAAGTTTTTAAACGTTAGTTTCTTTGTAAAGAGATGCAATATGGAAAATTTAGAAAATAAATGTCTAACCGAAATCATAAATTTAGTTGCATCTCAAAAAAATTACAGTCTAGTCTTTATGTTTCCCATTGTAATTCTAGGATACGTAATGATGAAAATGGACTTAAAAATGTGATACGCCCAGGACGGATTTAAAGCAAGAGGGGGAGAAGAAAACCAACCGAGCAAGCTTGAAAAAATGCATGGCGGAACAAGAATTAGAAGAGATAACAAAAAAAAGCAACATTTTTAAGAGCTACAAAAGACAGGAAATAATGGAGAGTCATGATCGCCTACGTCCTGAGGTGACACGGAACATAAAGAAGAATTACTAGATGCTGCCAAAGCTTCCGTCAAAATGATTATTGATAGAGTATTCACGACATAAAATCGATATTTATTTTGAAACCGTTTGGATATCTTAATATCGCTTACATTAGTTCTGCTGCGAAAATATAGCCAAATATGAACTAACTGAAAATTTGTTAATTTGCTTTCAAGACTTCAGGGAAGGTTTTGGTTCCAACTTAACTCTCAGCTAAGAATTCATTGTACATTGCCTCTCTTTGTATTGAGGTTCAAGAGAAAGAAAACATGCGATGGAACATTAACTATTGCATAATTGGATTATATACTTTTTTCAATATTTTTAAGAAGCAACGCAGTTTTTCATACTATGCATTTTTAGATTCCTACCTCAAGTTTAAAAAAAAAATGTTTCAGTCAAAGAAAAAATATTTCCATATGTATACTGACTGTAAAAATCGTGTCCTACATTTATGTAAGGATTAATCTGCAGTATTAAATTTTTCTCTACGCCACCTCTCTGTACGTCCTTCATGTTGTATCATTTTAATTTTTTTTTTTTTTTTCATTTTCTGGTTGGAGTTTATCAATTTCTATTCAATCTCATTTTCTTGTCTAAAAACTATCATACTATATTTTACTTAAAAACAACTCTGTAAAAACACATTTCCAATGCTTTTTTTCAGTTTGCTTTTTTTTTATTTTCACTTTATGAACTGATCGAAGAAACCTCTTATTTATTATTCATTTTTCTCAATTTTGTTTGTTGTGTCTTAAGCGTGTATTTGTGCATATGTTAGAAGCGTTTCTGGGTTTCTGTAAAAATATGTTTGCCTTAGTGTGCGTGTTTGTTTGCGTGTGTATCTGACTTGGCGTGTATTATATTGTGTAAATATTCGTGTGTAGTAAGGTATGTATACGTCCGTCTGCTTGTATGGATGTGGATGAGTGTGTGTTTCCGGTAGAGAGTTTGCATTTATATTAAATAGATTGTTATATGCGCGTTTGTTTATAAGTTTTCAGGTGTTTTCTTTATTTATTGCGTGTGATCTTATATGAGTATTTGTGTTATGTGCATGTGTATGTGTGTGCTTTTGTGTGTCGTATATATATATATATATATATATATATATATATATATATATATATATATAAAAACACGACGACGGATTTGGACTCAGTCGGAGATTTATCTATCGGCTCCCGGCAGAGAGGAAAGTGATTTTTTTTTATGTATTTATTTTGAATAAGCACACCATTGTCTCAAAGTGTTCGTCTCATAGAAGAGCTTTGCATTATCAACAGTAGCAGTCACAGTTTACAAATTCGCGCTTTCTCTCTAAAGTGCTCGACCGAAATTTATTTTTTTCGGGGTATATATATATATATATATATATATATATATATATATATATATATATTCATCCACAGACTGTTTCGCTGTATCACAGCTCACCAGTGAGATATATATATATATATATATATATATATATATGTGTGTGTGTGT